GGGAAGGTGACTCCTAGAAGACTGCCAGCAGGATATATTCCAGTAGAAGGGAACCAAAGGCCATCCAATCCATTCCCCCTTCTGTTTATAAAGGAAAACACAACCCAAACCCTCCTGACAGATGGCTATCCGGTCTCTGTTTAAAACCTCCAGGGAAGGAGACTACTAGCAGACTCCCAGGCAGGATATATTCCACTAGAAGGGGACCTCCAAAGGCCAACCAGTCCATTCCCCCTTCTGTTTATATAGGAAAACACAACTCAACCCCCCCTGACAGATGGCCATCCAGTCTCTGCTTTAAAGCCTCCAGGGAAGGTGACTCCTAGCAGACTCCCTGGCAGGATATATTCCACTAGAAGGGGACCCCCAAAGGCCATCCAGGCCATCCCCATTCTGTTCATGCAGGAAGACACAATCCAAGCCCTCCTGACAGATGGCCATCTGGTCTCTGCTTTAAAGCCTGCAGGGAAGGAGACTCCTAGTGGACTCCCAGGCAGGATATATACCACTAGAAGGGGACGCCCAAAGGCCATCCAGTCCATTCCCCCTTCTGTTTATATATGAAAACACAACCGAAACCCTCCTGACAGATGGCCATCTGGCCTCTGCTTGAAAATCTCCAGGGAAGGAGACTCCTAGGCGGTCTATATTCCACTAGAAGGGGAACCCAAAGGCCATCCAGTCCAACCTACTTCTGTTTATGCAGGAAGACACAACTCAAGCCCTCCTGACAGATGGCCATCCGGTCTCTGCTTTAAAGCCTCCACTGAAGGAGACTGCTAGCAGACTCCCAGACAGTCTATATTTCACTAGAAGGGGACTCCCAAAGGCCATCCAATCCATTCCCCCTTCTGTTTATATAGGAAAACATAACCAAAACCCTCCTGACAGATGGCCATCTGGCCTCTGCTTGAAAATCTCCAGGGAAGGAGACTCCTAGGCAGTCTATATTCCACTAGAAGGGTCCCCCAAAGGCCATCCAGTCCAACCCCTTTCTGTTTATGCAGGAAGACACAACCCAAACCCTCCAGACAGATGGTCATCTGGCCTCTGCTTGAAAACCTCCAGGAAATGAGACTCCTAGCAGACTCCCAGCAGGATATATTCCAGTAGAAGGGGAYCAAAGGCCATCCAATCCATTCCCCCTTCTATTTATATAGGAAAACACAACCGAAACACTCCTGACAGRTGGCCACCCGGTCTTTGCTTTAAAGCCTCCAGGGAAGATGACTCCTAGCAGACTCCCAGCAGGATATATTCCACTATAAGGGGACCTCCAAAGGCCAACCAKCCCATTCCCCCTTCTGTTTATATAGGAAAACACAACACAACCCCCCCTGACAGATGGCCATCCGGTCTTTGCTTTAAAGCCTCCACTGAAGGAGACTCCTAGCAGACTCCCAGGCAGKMTAYATTCCACTAGAAGGGGMCCCCCAAAGGCCATCCAGTCCATTCCCCCTTCTGTTTATATACGAAAACACAACTGAAACCCTCCTGACAGATAGCCATCTGGTCTCTGCTTAAAAGTCTCCAGGGAAGGTGACTCCTAGCAGACTCCCAAGCAGTCTATATTCCATTAGAAGGGGACTCCCAAAAGCTATCCAATCCATCCCCTTTCTGTTTATGCAGGAAGACACAACTCAACCCCCCCTGACAGATGGCCATCCGGTCTCTGCTTTAAAGTCTCCAGGGAAGGTGACTCCTAGGAGACTCAAAGGGAGTCTATATTCCACTATAAGGGGACCCCCAAAGGCCATCCAATCCAAACGCATTTTGTTAATGCAGGAAGACACAATCCAAGCCCTCCCAACAGATGGCCATCCGGCCTCCACTTTAAAGCCTCCAGGGAAGGACACTCCTAAGAAACACCCATGCAGGATATATTCCACCAGAAGGGGCCCCCAAAGGCCATCCAATCCATTCCCCCCTTCTATTTATATAGGAAAACACAACTGAAACCCTCCTGACAGATAGCCATCTGGTCTCTGCTTAAAAGCCTCCAGGGAAGAACACTTCTAGGAGACTCCCAGGCAGTCTATATTCCACTAGAAGGGGACCCCAAAGGCCATCCAATCCATCCCCCCTTCTGTTAATATAGGAAAACACAACCCAAACACTCCTGACAGATGGTCATCCGGCCTCTGCTTTAAAGCCTCTAGGGAAGGAGACTCCTAGTAGACTCCCAGACAGTCTATATTCCACTATAAGGGGACCCCCAAAGGCCATCCAATCCATTCCCCCTTCTATTTATATAGGAAAACACAACCCAAACCCTCCTGACAGATGGCCATCTGGCCTCTGCTTGAAAACCTCCAGAGAAGGAGCCTGTACTTGATTCTCCAGCAGTCTATATTCCACTAGAAGGGCCCCCCCAAAAGCCATCCATTTCAACTGCATTTTGTTTATGCAGGAAGACACAATCCAAGCCCTCCCGACAGATGGCCATCCGGTCTTTGCTTTAAAGCCTACAGGGAAGGAGATTCCTAGCAGACTCTCAGAGAGTCTATATTTCACTAGAAGGGGACCCACAAAGGCCATCCAATCCATTCCCCCTTCTGTTTATATAGGAAAACACAACCCAAACCCTCTTGGCAGATGGTCATCCGGTCTTTGCTTTAAAGCCTCCAGGGAAGGACACTCCTAGGAGACTCACAGGGAGTCTATATTCCACTAGAAGGGGACCCCCAAAGGCCATCCAGTCCAACCGCATTTTGTTTATGCAGGAAGACACAATCCAAGCCCACCCAACAGATGGCCATCCGGCCTCCACTTTAAAGCCTCCAGTGAAGGAGACTCCTAGCAGACTCCCAGGCATGATATATTCCTCTAGAAGGGGATCCCCAAAGGCCATCCAGTCCAAACAAATTCTGTTTATGCAGGAAGACACCATCCAAGCCCTCCCAACAGAAGGCCATCCAGCCTCTGCTTCAAAGCCTCCGGAGAAGGAGACTGCACTGGATTCTCCAGAGAATCTATATTCCACTAGATTTGGGACCCTCAAAGGCCATCCAGTCTAACCTACATCCGTTTCTGTAGGAAGACACCATTCAAGCCCTCCCAACAGAAGGCCATTGTTTTCCTGCTTAACTGTTTTTAATTTGCTTGGGTATTGTATTGTTGTATTGTGTTTTTGGGGCTTCGGCCTGTGTAAGCCGCATCGAATCCCTTGGGAGATGCTAGCGGGGTACAAATAAAGTTATAATAATAATAATAATAATAATAATAATAATACTCCAGTCTATGCTTGAAAACCTCAAAGGAAGGCCACTCCTAGCAGACCCCCAGGGAATCCATATTCCAGGGGATCCCCCAAAGGCCATCCAGTCTATCCCCATTCTGTTCATGCAGGGATTTTTTGGTGTTGTGAATTAGTTAAATTGCCCTCCCTGCATAAAGCGGTACCCACATTTCAAACTTGACAGATGCAACTGTCTTTTGCGCTGCATAGGTCAACAGCAAGCTAGACTATTAATGGTCAGGAGCCAGCTTTGACTCGGGCTGGCTTCGAACTCATGACCTCTAAGTCAATAGTGATTTAATGCAGCTGGCTACTAACTAACTGCACCACAGCCCGGTCTCATATTATATAATCATTACTATTATTACTATTATAATTACTCTTCTTCCTCCTCCTCCTCCTCTTCTTCCTTTTTTTCCTCTTCCTCTTCTTCCTCTTTTTCTTCCTTTTATCTTCTTCCAATTCTTCCTCTTCTTCTTCTTCCTTTTCCTCTTTCTCCTCTTCCTTTTCCTCTTCTTCCTCTTCTTTTTCTTCTTCTTTTCTCCTCCTTTTTGTCTTCCTCTTCTTCTTTCTTCTCCTCATCTTCGTCCTCCTCCTTTCTTCCTCTCTTCCTCTTTTTCTTCTCTTCTCTTCCTCCTCCTTTTCTCTCTCTCCTCCTCTTCCTCTCCTCCTCCTCTTCTTCTTCTTCTTTTTCCTTCCTCCTCCTCCTCCTCCTCCTTATTCTTCCTCTTTCTCTTCTTCTTCTTCCTCTTCCTCTTCTTTTTCTTTTTTCTTTTTCTTCTTTTTCTCCTTCCTCCTCCTTTTCTTCCTCCTCCTCCTCTTCTTCTTCTTTTTCCTTCTTCCTCCTCCTCCTCCTTATTCTTCCTCTTCCTCTTCTTTTTCTTTTTTCTTTTTCTTCTTTTTCTCCTTCCTCCTCCTTTTCTTCCTCCTCCTCCTCTTCTTCTTCTTTTTCCTTCTTCCTCCTCCTCCTCCTTATTCTTCCTCTTCCTCTTCTTTTTCTTTTTTCTTTTTCTTCTTTTTCTCCTTCCTCCTCCTTTTCTTCCTCCTCCTCCTCTTCTTCTTCTTTTTCCTTCTTCCTGCTCCTCCTCCTTATTCTTCCTCTTCCTCTTCTTTTTCTTCTTTTTCTCCTTCTTCCTCCTTTTTCTTCTTCCTCTTCTTCTTATTTTTCTTCTTCTCTTTCTTCCTCCTCTTCTTCCTCTTCCTCTTACTTTTCCTTCTTCTTCTTCTCCTTCTTCTTCCTCTTCTTCCTCTTCTTTTTCTTTTTTCTTTTTCTTCTTTTTCTCCTTCCTCCTCCTTTTCTTCCTCCTCCTCCTCTTCTTCTTCTTTTTCCTTCTTCCTCCTCCTCCTCCTTATTCTTCCTCTTCCTCTTCTTTTTCTTTTTTCTTTTTCTTCTTTTTCTCCTTCCTCCTCCTTTTCTTCCTCCTCCTCCTCTTCTTCTTCCTCCTTCTTCCTCCTCTTCCTCTTATTTCCTCTTCTTCTCCTTCCTCTTCCTCTTCTTTGTCTTCTTCTCTTCCCTCTTTCTTCTCCCCTCCCTTCTTTTCTTTCTTCTTCTTCCTCCACCACCTCTTCTTCCTCCTCCTTCTCCCACTTCTTCTCCTCCTTCTCCTGGTGGGCCCCTCCCCTTCGGAGAGGAACTCTGCTGCAGCGGCGCCCTCCGCCCGCGCGGTGGCGCTGCAGAGCGGAAGGGCCATTGCTGCTGCTTCCTCCTCCTCCTCCTGCTTCTGCTGCTGCCTCTCCAGCTGGTGACAGGGCTGCTGCTGCTGCTGGTGGTGGCGGTGTTGGTGTTGTGGCCGTGGCTGCTTCCTCGCCCTCGGCCTGCCATCCTTCCTCGGCCTCCCTTCCCTCCCTCCCTGCCTCGTCGCCGGCGGCCATGGAGTGGAGCCCCGCCCAGGTGAGGGGCTTCTCGGGGGGGGAGAGGATGCCAGGACAGGCCCAGGCCTCGCCCAAGGAGGTAGGCCTCCCGTCAGGAGAATGACAGCTCCACTCGCCCCCAGAGCAGCAGCATCCACCACCAGCAGCAGCATCATAGCCATAAGAAAGGGGACATGCCCAGGAATGACAGCTCCATTGGCTCCATCATCATCCTCATCATCACCATAATAATAACAGTAGTAATGATAAGAATGAGAATAATAATAATAATAATAATAATAATAATAATAATAATAATAGAAGGGACATTGGGCCTCTTCCACCCAGGAATGACATCTCAGTTAGTTCCATCATCATGATGATAATAATAATAATAGTAGTAGTAGTAATAATAATAACAGTAGTAATGATAAGAATGAGAATAATAATAATAATAATAATAATAATAATAATAATAATAATAATAATAGAAGGGACATTGGGCCTCTTCCACCCAGGAATGACATCTCAGTTAGTTCCATCATCATCATGATGATAATAATAATAATAATAATAGTAGTAGTAGTAATGATAATAATGAGAATAATAATAATAATAATAATAATAATAATAATAATAATAGAAGGGACATTGGGCCTCTTCCACCCAGGAATGACATCTCAGTTAGTTCCATCATCATCATGATAATAATAATAATAATAATAATAATAATAATAGTAGTAGTAGTAATGATAATAATGAGAATAATAATAATAATAATAATAGAAGGGACATTGGGGCTCTTCCACCCAGGAATGACATCTCAGTTAGTTCCATCATCATGATGATAATAATAATAATAATAATAATAGTAGTAGTAGTAATGATAATAATGATAATAATAATAATAATAATAATAATAATAATAATAATAATAGAAGGGACATTGGGCCTCTTCCACCCAGGAATGACATCTCAGTTAGTTCCATCATCATGATGATGATAATAATAATAATAATAACAGTAGTAATGATAAGAATGAGAATAATAATAATAATAATAATAATAATAATAATAATAATAATAGAAGGGACATTGGGGCTCTTCCACCCAGGAATGACATCTCAGTTAGTTCCATCATCATCATCATGATAATAATAATAATAATAATAATAATAATAATAGTAGTAGTAGTAATGATAATAATGAGAATAATAATAATAATAATAATAATAATAATAATAATAATAATAGAAGGGACATTGGGTCTCTTCCACCCAGGAATGACATCTCAGTTAGTTCCATCATCATGATATGACAATAATAGTAATGATAAACATAGTAATGATAAGAATGAGAATGAGAATAATAATAATAATAATAATAATAATAATAATCATAATAATAGAAGGGACATTGGGCCTCTTCCACCCAGGAATGACATCTCAGTTAGTTCCATCATCATCATCAATGATAATAATAATAATAATAATAATAATAATAACAGTAGTAATGATAAGAATGAGAATGAGAATAATAATAATAATAATAATAATAATAATAATAATAATAATAATAGAAGGGACATTGGGCCTCTTCCACCCAGGAATGACATCTCAGTTAGTTCCATCATCATCATGATGATAATAATAATAATAATAATAATAGTAGTAATGATAATAATGAGAATAATAATAATAATAATAATAATAATAATAATAATAATAATAGAAGGGACATTGGGGCTCTTCCACCCAGGAATGACATCTCAGTTAGTTCCATCATCATCATGATGATAATAATAATAATAATAATAGTAGTAGTAGTAATGATAATAATAATAATAATAATAATAATAATAATAATAATAATAATAGAAGGGACATTGGGCCTCTTCCACCCAGGAATGACATCTCAGTTAGTTCCATCATCATCATGATGATAATAATAATAATAATAATAGTAGTAGTAGTAATGATAATAATGATAATAATAATAATAATAATAATAATAATAATAATAATAGAAGGGACATTGGGGCTCTTCCACCCAGGAATGACATCTCAGTTAGTTCCATCATCATCATGATGATAATAATAATAATAATAATAATAATAGTAGTAGTAATGATAATAATGAGAATAATAATAATAATAATAATAATATTAATAGAAGGGACATTGGGCCTCTTCCACCCAGGAATGACATCTCAGCTCCATCATCATCTTGATAATAATAGCAGTAATGATAATAATGAGAATGATAATGATAATGATAATAATAATAATAGAAGGGACGTTGGGCCTCTTCCACCCAGGAATGACATCTCAGCTCCATCATCATCATCATCATCATCGTAGTCGTAGTAGTAGTAATGATAATAATGAGAATGATAATAATAGTAATGATAAACATAGTAATGATAAGAATGAGAATAATAATAATAATAATAATAATAATAATATGAATAGAAGGGACGTTGGGCCTCTTCCACCCAGGAATGACATCTCAGCTCCATCATCATCATCATCATCGTAGTCATAGTAGTAGTAATGATAATAATGAGAATGACAATAATAGTAATCATCATCATCATTATCATCATCATCATGATAATAATAGTAGTAATTATAATAATGAGAATGAGAATAATAGTAGTGATAAACATAGTAATGATGATGATGATGATGATAATAATAATAATAATAATAGAAGGGACATTGGGCCTCTTCCACCCAGGAATGACATCTCAGCTCCATCATCATCATCATCATCATCATCATCATCATCATCATCATGATAATAAGAGTAGTAATAATAATAATGAGAATGAGATAATAGTAATGATAAACATAGTAATGATAAAAATGAGAATAATAATAATAATAATAATAATAATAATAATAATAATAATAGAAGGGATGTTGGGCCTCTTCCACATCTCAGCTCCATCATCATCATAATTATCATCATCATCATTATAGTAGTAATGATAATAATGAGAATGAGAATAATAGTAATAATAAACATAGTAGTAATAATAATAATACTAATAGTAATAGTAATAATAATAATAAGAAGAATGGCACAGTGGGTTAAGCCCCTGTGCCGGCAGGACTGAAGACCAACAGGTCGCAGATTCGAATCCGGGGAGAGGCGGATGAGCTCCCTCTATCAGCTCCAGCTCCTCATGCGGGGACATGAGAGAAGCCTCCCACAAGGATGATAAAACATCAAATCACCCAGGCGTCCCCTGGGCAACGTCCTTGCAGACGGCCAATTCTCTCACACCAGAAGCGTCGCTCTTGACACGACAAAAAAAAATCATCATGATAATAACAGTAGTAATGATAATAATGAGAATAATAGTAATGATAAACATACTAATAATAAGAATGAAAATAATAGTAATAATAATAATAGAAGGGGCATTGGGCTTCTTCCACCCAGGAATGACATCTCAGCTCCATCATCATCATCATCATCATCATCATCATCATCATCATAGTAGTAGTAGTAGTAATGATAATAATGAGAATGAGAATAATAGTAATGATAAACATAGTAATGATAAGAATGAGAATAATAGTAATAATAATAATAGAAGGGGCATTGGGCCTCTTCCACCCAGGAATGACATCTCAGCTCCATCATCATCTTGATAATAATAGTAATAATGATAATAATGAGAATGAGAATAATAATAATAATAATAATAATAATAATAATAATAATAGAAGGGACGTTAGGCCTCTTCCACCCAGGAATGACATCTCAGCTCCGTCATCATCGTCATCTTGATAATAATAGTAGTAATGATAATAATGAAAATAATAATAATAATAATAATAGAAGGGACATTGGGCCTCTTCCACCCAGGAATGACATCTCAGCTCCATCATCATCATCATCATCATCATCATCATCATCATCATCATCATCATAACAGTAGTAATGATAATAATGAGAATGAGAATAATAATAATGATAAACATAGTAATGAGAACAACAACAATAATAATAATAATAATAATAATAATAATAATAGAAGGGACATTGGGACATTGGGCCTCTTCCACCCAGGAATGACATCTCAGCTCCATCATCATCATCATCATCTTGATAATAATAGTAGTAATGATAATAACGAGAATGAGAATAATAATAATAATAATAATAATAATAATAATAATAATAGAAGGGACATTGGGCCTCTTCCACCGAAGAATGACATCTCAACTCCATCATCATCATCATCATGATAATAGTAGTAATGATAATAGTAGTGATGATCATTATTATCATCTTGATTATAATAGTAGTAATGATAATAATGAGGATGAGAATAATAGTAATGATAAATATAATAATAATAATAATAATAATAATAATAATAATAATAATAATAGAAGGGACATTGGGCTTCTTCCACCCAGGAATGACATCTCAGCTCCATCATCATCTTGATAATAATAGTAATAATGAGAATAATAGTAATGATAAATATAGTAATAATAATAATAATAATAATAATAATAATAATAATAATAATAATAATAGAAGGGACATTGGGCCTCTTTCACCGAAGAATGACATCTCAATGACATCATCATCATCATCATCATGATAGTAGTAGTAATGATAATAATGAGAATGAGAATAACAGTCATGATAAACATAGTAATGATGCTAAAGATGATGATGATGATGATGATGATGATGATGATAGAAGGGACATTGGGCCTCTTCCACCCAGGAATGACATCTCAGCGCCATCATCATCATCATGATCATGATAATAATAGTAGTAATGATAATAGTAGTGATTATCATTATTATCATCTTGATAATAATAGTAGTAATGATAATAAAGACAATGAGAATAATAGTAATGATAAACATAGTAATAATGAGAATGAGAATAATAATAATAATAATAATAATAATAATAATAATAATAATAATAATAGAAGGGACATTGGGCCTCCTCCGCCCAGGAATGACATCTCAGCTCCATCATCATCATCATCATCATCATCA